AACCTAAAGTGCTAGCTTCTTGAATGGTCCAGCATTGATCTCGTCCTCAGCTGGTCGCTTAAACTGGCCATTATTCTCTCGAGGAGCTCAACCGCCTGGGATGCATAAACCTGGGAGCAGCATCCCAGTTAGCCTGTCGTTTAAATTTACTGTCCCACCAGAGCTGGTGGCTAATGTACTGGTTCCTGGTTCAAACAAGAACTGGCGCATTGAGTGGAATAGGTTCCTGAATATCTTCCCTGGATTTCCTATCCCAAACAATTCCAGATACTTTTCCTCAACCATCATGATGCTGTACCGACTCAAAGCCAGGCTTTGGTTGTCCAGAAATTTGAACCTCTGAACGTCATCCCTCTTAGTGCCAGCTGGACGCACTGCGTCCATAACGACACAGAGAACACTCTCCAGGTCATCAAGGATTCCCTGGATGGGGCTGCTGAGCATAGGAATGCCCATGAAAAGCGGCGTCCCTGTAAATGGGTCCTTGGCCACCTCCACCTGTCCCACTGTCGTCGCATTGAACCCCCACTGCTTGGCAATATCAATGTGATTGGGTTGAGTTGGGCCAGTGTCCCTGGCAGCATCCTCAGCAGTGCCCCAGCCAATGACCTTGGCACAGCTCCAGTCAATGACATACACCTTGTTGTTTTTGACACACACGTTCCCTGCTGAAATGTCCCTGTGCAGGACACCAGTTTCACTTGCCTGGGCAAGACACAAGGTTAGCTGCTCGACAAAGCCAGGAACCAGCTCGTCTTTCTGATCGTCGGCCTTGTCTTTCAGATACTTGGCTATTGGCTGGCGTTACGTTAAAAATAGATCTTGAACAAAAATGAACTAAAAGAAAGCTAAGGGATGAATAGCCTCCACTGTTCATATCCATTAGTGTTTATGTGTGCGTATGAATTCCCGCATATCCAAGTAGGGAATTAACTAGCGATTGATTCATTAATCAATCGCCAGAGACAAGCCGCAATTCCTTGTATCACACTTCCTATCTTTTTAGCTCCCTACCTCTATGCCTTTACATTGCCTGTTTTCCTTTTTCTTTTTGTCATGAGTTGCATCTACAACATCACAAGGTGATCAGACTTGTAATGATTGCTGTGCTGCCATGTATTTAATAAATTTAACAAAACCCCGAGAACATTTTACAATGTTTCAAGGCCCATGGACACTCATCTTTTTTTGTTCTTTTTTGTTTGTTCTGTTCTTTTTGTTTGTTCTGTTCTTTTTTGTTCAGGCAATACATTAGCAAGGAGGGCGGGTAGCAGCAAAGGGAGGAGTGGGTAATGGGGAGACGAAATATGAAGATGAGGGCTGGTTGTATGACGAAAGAGGATTTGACGTGGAAAGCCGGTGGGTGTGTTCGAACATCCCTTGGCATAAGTTGTGTTTTGAAAGTGAAAATATGGACTGTAGATTTTGCGAGCAAAGGGTTGGGTTGGTTATTGAAAAGTCAAGAGGAGGTAAGTGGTATCCGCGGTCGCTGGTGGTATATTCCATATAAAAACATGGTGCGTAAAGTGTAATTGGTAAGTAGTGTTGTAACAAATTGTGGTTGGGATGAAAAACCAAAGAAATGTCTTGGGAAGTGGACGCTCTATTTATATGGAATCTGGCATTCAAATGGATGGACAAGAAAGGCAGCCAAAACAGACCTACCATTTAGAAAAAGAGATTGGAAATGAAAAATACAGCAGGTTCTTCGTTTTGCGCCAGCCTAAAATAATTTCCCCACGGTTTTGCACCAAGAGGCTTGTATTTGGGTAATGAAACAAGCCCAAACTGCCAAAAATAGCAGCAAGATATATCTCCATGTGCTTGAAGAAAAATGTTGTTAACATTGCATCATTTTGATTCCAACATTGCATAATTTATGCTGTGAAATAAAGTGAAAGTGATTTTGATATTTCCAAAAATACAAACATGCATTCGGGCATTTTTGCAAGCCAAACAATGATGTATTTTTTTGGGGAGCAACTTTTATTTCAAAATTTTACATGTATATTTAGAGAACCTGGGTAAGAGGCCAAACTTGAAACATAAGCAATTGGTATTTGCTATAAAGTATATTAATCAAAAGAGGATATTTATTTCTTCCAAGGAGAACAATTCTTGGCTGCCCGACAGCCATTCCTTATATGCTCTCGTTATGACATAGATAAACTGTAATAAAACGTATCATCATTGCTCTGATTGCCACGGGCGTAATCAATTAATCTCAGTATAACAACATACAACGCCATGTGCCTTAATGTTGGAATATAGGAACGTTCTATGAACGTGTAGATAAACTATAATGACAAAGTATATTTAATAACAAGTGCTATGCACTGTGAAAGGTAAAGAGTAGAAAGCATATTGCTTTGGTCACTGTGTGACTTATTGTTTGTGTGGCTAAACAGCCAAGACTGGTTAATCAGTTGATCGCCATCAACCAATACTTAACTGTGACATATCTGGAGTCAATTCACACACTGGGTTGAATAGCATTGGATGTCAGTGCTTTAAAAGCATGTTCACAAAATGATGAATCATTTCCAGCAATCACATGTACAGGATGCTGCTTCCATTATTGCTAAAAATCCCATGTATAAATAAGACATGGTTTCTCGAATATTCAGTTGGTAGTTCTTTAGGCACTCTTGCTCCTTTTCCTTTTTTACTCACAACTGCAAACATCTTTATTTTATTTACCAGCAACCATCATTTTCAACATGCAGATCTTCTCATTCACCACTCTTGCCCTGGTTGCCGTTGCTGCCACTGCTGTTGTGCGCGCTGACGCTTATGCCGATGCCATTTTTTGACAGGTTTGGAGTGTTTCATTACCCGAAGCAAGCCTCTTGGTGCACAGAAAGAGTGCAAAGCATATTTCAGGCTGGCAAACCTTAGAACCCACTGCGTTTTTCATTTTTCCATCTCTTTTTCAATTGCCAGGGCTTATTTACTGCCTTTCTCCATCTATTCGCATGTCTTATTTCATATAAAAGGAGCGCCCAGTTTTCAAGCTATTTTTTGGTTCCCTATCTCTCTCCCAACAACCACCACTTCCTCTAAAATACTACCACCTTTTTTCTAATACAAACATATTTTCCTAACATTAGGGCATCACGACTACAGTACACGCGCGCACACGCAGCAGCATCAACTTTGACTTCAACATGGATTATCGGTTCACAATACACAACTTTTGTGGGAGGGGATCACACACATACAACAGTTCTCGCCCAGCGCCATCCATTGCACTACATTGGCCCATATATTATATCCGCCGTCTGCCACAGCCACGCTCACTTGTGCATCACAAAAAATAATGTGTGTCTAGTAAACACTCGGTAAGGTATCTGCAACTGGTCTCATCAATGTCATGTCTGGGATGTCTGGGTATATAAGGGGACCTAAAGAACACCCTTATAATAAAAATCGGGCCGGTTCCATTCCGTAGGACCCGTAACCGTGGTATATACGGGGGCCACAGAACATTTGTTCAATATGAGTCCGGCTGGTGACACGCCTAAGACCTGAAATCAGAGGCAGCGGAATGGGAGGAGGGTGGGGTTTACCCATGTACCTTCTCCGGATCACCAGCGTCTGGATGGGCTCCTCACAAAATCACAACACGGGCATGGCTAGAAAGAGTAGCGCATGTACCAAACCCAAAGACATGACAACCAGTTGCAAATATCTCCGAGCGTCCAACGACATTTTGCACTCGAAGCTCTATGAGCTCTAAACAGCTATAATTTGCGTGGCGATGATTTTTAGATGGCACTTTACTTTTAATTGTGCTAATTTTTGACTTTGCCACCCATCATGGCAGAAAATAAAACCACTGTACATACACCCCCAAGGTTTCCATTGAAAATTTAATTACAAAAACTAGACTGAAAGCCAAGAGAATGAATTTTGTAAATACCGCTCGAAAAAATCAGATAATATTAGAATATCAAATTGCATAATTTCAGTTTGCATGCACTTTTGCAGCCACTGATTTAGTCTGTGTTTTAGTTGATCATGTGCAACAGCCATCGAACACGAATAACATGTCATGTACAACTATTGGGCACTTGTCCAGGTTAATCTGCGTTGTGCTTAATTTGCTGTTTAGTTGATAGGAAAGCGTTGGTAAAAATAAAAATAAAATAAGAGATGACAGCAAGCATACAAACAATGTGGCTGTATTGACATTCGCTTGGGATTGCGATTGGTATTGGAGACCATTGCAGCAAAAAGCCATCACAGCAAAAAAATGCTTCAGCTTTTTGTTAAGAAAAAACAGGAGATATTGGAGAGTGTACAGCTAATGATACATTCAATTAGGAGTTATTCGTTAGGATCGAGATGGGCATATTCGTTGTGTAGATAATCTATGGCCCTATTTATACAGCCTGTTCTGCAGAACCACATCTAGTGCAGCTCAAAAATAGCAACGTTAATGTAATGCTGCGCAGCCTGAAGACATGGAAGCAGATGTCGAGGTTGAGGATCGTGAAACAAGTTTCCGTCTGCATGCCGGTTGATAGGGCACTAATTGGATCATGCAGGCGTGAATTAGGAAGGCATAATAATGATGCCCAGACATGCTCCCTACTTTGCAAAGTACACGTACGAACGCACATATGCAAAAACCACAACATTGGCTTGCCAAGACACCGGTTTGCTCACAGAAAAACCAGTTCTCGCCAGCGGAGTGCACAGCTGGCAAAGTGCACAACAAAGGCGATGAGATACATATATAAGACAAGGCCAGCCCTAGTTCTGCCTTTGATTCCCTTGATAATAAAAACTATAACAAAACCCAACCATACTTTTAACACTAGGCGACTAGTGCTCCACTCAACTCATAATACCTTTAACACTAGACAACTAGTGTCTCCTCCAAATTACAACTGCAAGCACCAATTAACTGACAAATGAATAAAGTATTGGGTTCTAAACAACAAAGCGGAAAATATAAAAAAAACTTTTTTACACAATGCGTTGTTTTTCTTTTATTATAATTTCAAACCAAAAAGAATAAAGACTTAAAAAACGTCTTTATACAATCTGGCCACAAATCTTTCTCTAAATTTCTCTTTTCCTTTTACTTTTTTATTTATAAAAAAATGCGCGGAAAAAGGAAAGCTATGTATAAAAAATTGGACGGTAAAAATGACGCTGTATTTTTATACTGGCTTTGACGTTTCTTGTATCCACATTTGTTTTATTTATACCAATAATTATAAGATTTTATTTAAGCATGACAAAACCTAAAAGCAAGCATCAAGACATGAAAGCTAACATCCCAAATTACTTGAGTCTTGACAATATAAGAAAAGCAAAAGTAAACACAAAAACTGCCTACGTATACCTAACCAACAGCACGTTCGCACACATTGGGTCTATAAACGATGTCCGAAGTAAAACATATACTGATACAATTTATAGTTACTTAGGCAAACAGGGTAAGTTAATTTGTACAATCCTGGCCATAGATACTTTTTATGTCTGTTACCTGCTCGAAACTGCTAAGCCCAAATTTGAAAATGCGTTAGCTAAGCCCACATTCAATGTTTTATTGAATAAATGTATTAGTTTGGAAGAGGGTATATTTAAATAATACTTTTTTTTAAAATATTTCTCACCTTATTACAAAACCAATACCAGCACTTTTTTGTTTCCTTGTGAGTTTTTGTGCTTGGTCAGCCAGTTAACTGTTAGTATATATTTTTTATTTAACCAATAAAAAATAAATATAGAGTAGAAAATTTACTATCTTGCGTGTGTTATGAGAGGGGGTGGTGTAAAGAGCACTATGGTAATAGTGTTATGAAAGTGGTGGGGGAATTTATAAAGGGTTTATTTACTAATGTTTCTAAAGTACTGCTAGCCCTAGCCTCATCTTATATATGTGCCTCGTTGCCTTTTTTGTGCACATTGTCAATCGTGCGCTTCGTTGGTGAGAACTGGATCTTCTGCGAGCAGACCAGTATCTTAGCAAGTCAATGCTGTGATTTTTGCATAAGTGCATTTGTACGTGTACATTGCAAATTAGGGAGTATACCTGGTTATCATTATTATTCCTCCCTAATTTACACCTGCATAGTCCAATTAGTACCCTATTAATTGGCATGCAGATGGAACCTTGTTTCATGACTTTCAACCTCAGCATCTACTTCCATCCCCTCGGGTTGTGTAACACGTGTAAAAGTACTAGTAAAACTTGGAAAAACTGTTACATTATTAAATTATTATTTTGTAAACAATATATATTAAAACAATGACATAAAACAAGGATAGACGAGAAAAGAAAAAAGAAACGCAATTGGCCAATGCATTATACTATGCATTGTCGCATTGCGTGTTTGTTATTGTATATCGAAACACATTCTTATACATATACAGGTCGCCGATTCTGCGCTTGCAAAAGCTCCGACTTGTCAGCAACCTCAAAATTCTCCAGGGCAAACTCTACATCAGCCTTAACTTTGAAATTAGGCGTAATTTTAGTCCCCTCGGTGATAACAAGAATAGTGCCCTGGCCGTAATACTCGACTTCCCACAAAAGCCTTGAAAACAGACGCGAGTTAGCCAGCGGAACCCACAAATTGCAAACAGACTTTGCCCGCAACTCAGGGCTAGAAAACATGCGCGCCAAATCATTAGCACTCGACTCAGTCATCGGGCGCTTCTCAATCATGCTCAGGCGCTTATCCGCAGTATGCATGCGCGAAAATGATGGAGCCCAGGCTTGGATGGCGGACTCCTCGTCGGCTACTGTGAGACAGTCACGGCCGAGAAGCCGTGGGAAGGCGCGCAAGGTCAGTTTGATCAGGGAC